CCAAAAACTTAAAAAAAAAAATTGTTGGTGGAAACCAAAACAACCGTTTTCTTTTTGTTTCGTTTTTTTGCTCAGTCATGAGAGCACAAGTTCGCAGACACACAAACACGCACACGCTGAGTTTCAGGACACAATACACCACCTTGACCCAGTGTCTTGACCCACCACCTTGACCCAGTGTCGTGTTACTTCCATTACCGCTGACTAACTTTTGGTGGTGGCTTGAATGACAGCAGCGGGGTGTGTGAAGGAGGACCACGTTCGTCCGTGTCAAGTTCATCTGGCACAGAGGCAGCAGGGAAAAAATCTGGGCCAGCTGAACCCGATTCCTGAAACAGAGCCCGGCGCTACTGATTCGGCAGCGCTCGCACGTTCGGGCCACCGCAGGAGCCTTGTTAACGTGAAAGGATGGAACACAGATGCCGCCAACAAAGGAAAGTCATGATAAGGCAACAAACAGGAAATGATAATACAGTGGAACCTTGAGATACAAGCATAATCCGTACCTCAAGGTGCTCGTATCTCGAATAATTTTTTCCCATAAGAAATTAATCCGTTCTGGCTCTCTGGAAAACTCCTTTTAGTGCTAATAACAATGAAAATGTTTTTAATTGCTATAGAGCCATACACACAAATAATTATAGTATATAAGGATTCCTGTGATATAAAATAAATTGTGGTTTTAATTATGAGTTCTTACCTTCGAGACAGACGATACAGTAGCAGCTAATGGAGGCATGTGCGGAGGAGGAGGAGGAGGAGGGAGGGAAGAGAGTTGGCCCTTAAGTAGACCACGCTTATATTTCCTGCTTTATTTCCATTGCCATCATGCGTTTCTTCTTCTCACTACCATCCTTACTCTTATGACTCATCACTATTAAGAAGAATAATGCACAAAATAGAGAGAAAATAGGTAGGTGTAGGTAACGCAAACACAATACGGAAGACTCACGGGAGATGCTTACGGAAGTCGACGAACACGTGAAGTGAACGAGTGAAGAGGCGTAGGCTGCTCCGAGTGCTCGGCCACCTACGTCGGTGTCTGTAAGTGTGCTCGTTTCTCAAATCTCTACTCGTATTTCAAGGTTCCACTGTACTCCCACTGTATCTGTGCGGTTACCACTCAGTTACAGCAGTGATTTAGCCGTGAGCACAGACTGACACACATCAAAATGGTAAAGGAAATGTTTATTTCTCGTCTCCGCAACAAAGCCATTTGTTTTTCCAGAATGATCTTTTACACATGAACATGACAGATGGCAGTGATGTACGAGGAATATGAAAACAGTAACAGGCATATTTACAGGGACCTGAGAGGGATGACCTGCAACACCTCTTTCTCAGTGGTCGACAGGAGGAACAGCACCACAGGCTTGGCAAGAGAACCACAGCAGGTTCTGCAGCTGGTTTTTGTATTTTAATATTTTTAAAAACAAACCTGAAGCACAGACAAAACACTGTAACAACACAGTGTAAGCTCAGAGAAAAAAAACTATTCAAGCAGAAAAGTAAAACAAAACTTAACAAATGAATAAAGCAGAGACTTTAAAAAGATTTTATTTACATTCTGTTTTGTTTTTTTAGTTCAGAACATGACCTGGTTTCTTGATCTTGTGTGAACCATCCAGCACTTTTGGCATTTTTAACAGTGTTTAAGAGTATTTCAAAGAGTGCATTCTGTAGTATTTGTATGTATATATATATATGTATTTGTTTGTTTGTTTGTTTGTTTGTTGTTGTATTTACTGGCCTGGTTTACTTTTGTGAAATTTGTCTTTTTTGATTTTTTATAAAATTACTTTTCCCTGAACTACATTTTATTAAAACTGAATATAATATTTAGAAATATACTGTGTATCTCGTACTGCGTTTCCGTTCTTTACATGTTTCTGTTCCTGTCAGTGTTTTCCGACATTCCGGTGCAGATGGAATAATTTGCTCAAATACTGCTAAAAAAGTAAACGATAACAATGACATCATCTCTCCTGACCCCCGCGTTTGTTTGTGCTGATGTGTCTGTGGCAGTATTGTGGTTCCCGGGACTTTGTTTCACACGATGGCAACAACATCTGTGGACAGTTGGACACAGTCCGCGCCGTGTCCGTTTGTATAGTTTTGTCTCTGTGTGTGTGAGACTCTGGTTATGACACACGTGACACAACACTGTCTTTGGACTGACCTGAGTGAGCAGCGACCCAAGAGCTTCAGCTTGTCATAGAAGCGTAAGGATATGGTGTTCTTCCTGCAAACTGGACCTGCAAAGAGACCCTTGAATCACAGGGGAGTCAAATTAAATACATTGAAGTAGTAACTGTTTGAATTTGATTTACATAACAAAAGGTTTAACCTTTAACATCACACAGAGACAGAATTGGAGTCCAGAGGTTTGCCGTTGCCGGTTCAATTCCTGCTCATTCTCTATGAAGTTTGCATACTTTATACTACTTGGGTTTTCTCTGAGAAATACATTTAACTAATCATGGGTATTAGTGCTAATGTGAATTTGAGTGTTTCTCTAGGTACTGTACGGTGAACTATTTTAGGTCAGACCCCACCCTCACCCAGTGACTGCTACGATTGGCTGCCCCCTTCACATGTCCTTAAAAAGGACAAGGCCGTAAAAGTCAAAGACACACGAACCTGGTTTTACACTTCTGCATGTTACACTTCCTCAGTGTTTCAGGTTTGGAACTCTTCTCACAGTAACTGCTTGGCACAACGTTCAGAGTGAGGTCACTCATACAGCTGACCTGACGCTGCTGCTGACCCCCACCACAGCTCACAGAGCACTGCAACATCCCAGAAACACACAGAAACCAGCATTCGTATATTGTCATATTTGGTTTATAATAATTCACAAACACTTTCAACAAACTCAATCCCCCAGTGACTGACCTCCTCCCATTCTTGCGTCTTCCACTGAGCGCAGGGTCTTAAACTGCATGACTCTGTGCTGTTTGGCCTCAGTGTGTTGCTACAACGATGAGGCTGTGGACAGCAGACGAGCCGCTCCCTGATGCCTTTACTGCAGCTGCCGGAGCACTGTTGTAAATTGAAGTCTAAATTACACTCTTTGGTTCTTTGAATATTATAATATCACATTTAAAAACATTGTTACTGTCAAGAAATTTTGTGATTTACACTGATAAATATATATAAATATACACATATATAAATATATATATTATATTTGCACTGATAACTATATATATATATATTTGCATATCAGTGCAAATAAAGTATACATATATAAATATATATACATATATACTGTATATATGTATATAATTATTTAGTGCTTATTAAAATTCCACAAATAAAAATTTAGAGACCATGACAATATATACATACATAACAATGAACATAGTCAAAGACAAAAAACAAAAGGTGAAATGTTTTAATTGAACTAAAACTGTACTATATTAAGTCAGTGGTTCTCAATTATTTTCAGTCATGCCCCCTTGGGGACAGAAATGGTTTCACCCCCCCCGACCCACACCCCCGTGAATTAAAATACTATTGAGATAATATCATGATAACATGTATATTTTTTACCTGTACAAACCACTGTATGAGTTGCTGCCATCTAGTGACTGGAGGCTTGTTATCATTCAAGCATTACAGCAGTGGTACACTTATGTCCAGTGTACCAGTATTCCAGTAGCCCGCCCCACTATTTGAGGAGTACTGTATTAAGTAAATATTACACTAGGTATGCACATGTACATAAATATCTATGAATTCATGCCTAATAAGTAGAGGATGCTGAGTGTGTACGTTCATCCTACTGCTCCCCAGGGCGATAAACTCCAGGTCACACAGGGCCTGCGAGGGCAGATCAACGTGCTGATGGGCTTAGTGGACACAGCCTGACACAGGACACAGAGAATCAACACACTGGACATCGCGGAACCACCGGCCCACCACCACACAGTTATCTGGACACTGTACGAATGATCACAATTAAAACAGGATCTGTGGTTAGAGATCCATTTATGGATCACTGGACATCAGGTGCTTTAAATGTAATTATGGGCTGCAATAACTTGACAGGACTCACTTTGCTCCAGCTGCCACTCTGCCAGGTGGCACACGGCTGCAGCTGACACATACAGGCAGGTTCGGGTTTCTTCATGTTGGCACAGTCCCCATCCTTCTCCAAACTGCATATTACCGATCGCCATATTGCACCAGCGCAGTACAACGCAGTACTGTGCAACATGAGGGATTTCTTTTGAGAGATCAGTGTATCAGTTTGTTTAATTTAGTTATAATAATAGAGTTCCAAATGAATGTCTGTTTAGATAATGTTCTGTTTTTTGTCTGTTGCCATTTTAATTCCATTTGTGTTTATTTACATGTAACACTATTGTTCTTTCTTAAGTTACAAAAAACAGAACTGTATTTTGTATATTTTGTTGATATTATTTAATAATTTAGGATTATTCTAAGATTAAATATCATACGAGTCGTGTTGCATCGCACATGTGAGTACATTTTGAGCATGTACTTGTATCCAACGTCTTTATCTTTGAATACAACCTTGTGTCATTGAGACCGTTCTCTTGTTCAGAGAATGGCTGATGTTGGACCAAATTTTATTTGTCTTTTCTTTTAAATAATTTTTCTTTTAAATAACATTTAACATTATTGGATTTACTAAGATGCCACATGTGTGAGCCCACCTCACTCCAGTTTCTTACAACCCAGTACATGTCCATGTTGACCGACTCCTTGGCCATCAAGTTGGGATTTTGCTGCCTCTAGTTCTGGTTCTTGACAGGACCCTTGGGCCGTGAGGATGGCTTTTTCCCACGAGGGGTTGGCCTTCTTGTCTTCTGTGTAGCAGCAGATTTTTTCACTTTAATTATCTTGACGGTGGGCTGTGCTGACACTGTGGTGAGTGTCCTCGTAGTCGTGGAAGGAGCCCTTGTTGTGTGGACGCCGCGCGTGAGAGTGGTGAGGGAGATCCTGTGTGTCCAGGAGCCGTACGGACTGATGCTTGGCTTTGAGTGGTCCTCAGTGGTGTTTCAGTGCTGGTGAGTGGGGTGGAGTAGGTGGTTGTGATGGCTTTTGTGGTCATGTGCAGGGTAGGTGGACTTGTTTGTACAGTGGTTGACTCTAGGGAATTTTTGACTGATGAAACATCCAGGTCAATGATCTCCTCTTCTTCAGATCTTCTCTCCTCGACAACATAGTCATATCCTGGGGTGTACGTCACATTAGGAGTGCTTCCTTCCTCTTCTTCCACAATATCCTTGTGCACACCACTTAATTTCCTGTTCTTTTTAACATGATGAAGTTTTACTTGCAACAAGGAGTGCAGAACAATGATTACATTCAGAACTGCACTGAGGACCTCCTCAGTGCTCAAAGCTTAAATACAGTTTTTTTCACATACACATCAATGGTCAGTACCTTAACCCTTTACAGCCATGTGGTGTTCACGTACCACTTCTGAGCGCTGATTGGCAAAGGCTGCTTCAAACAAAGATTCTCCACCAATAGAAAACATGTACATGTGCTGAGCTATTCTGCTCAGTAACTCAGGTTAGATCAAAGAAATGCACTTTGGATTCTTTTCCTTTTTGATGTTCTGTTTTCCTCATTATTTGTGCAGAGAAACTGGTTCAGGCCGGTTCTGTGACCTGTCTCTATCTCCAAGCGTAACAGTCAGTGCTATCCGTACCATACACCATCCTGTTATGTAAACCATTAGCATGCACACCTTTCTTCAGTGCTTCTCCTTTTAGTACAGCATAAAAAAAAAAACAGTACAAATTGATATGGAAACTTAATACAATGAATATACTGTAAAGATTGAATAAATGTATTTACAATATCTTAACAAGGTGAAACCTTTCTTATCCCCAGTTTTCCTGACTATGATGTTCAGCTCAAAGTCGTCAGTATCCATGAGGTTGTGGTCGTAGGGTTTAAAACAGATACAGTAGTGGAGATAAACGTAGCGCTGGTTGTTCTGGTCCACATAGGTGTAGTCTCTGTAGGTATGATACTCGTGGGAGCCCAGGTTTAAGAACCGGGATATTTGGTGGGTGTCGGTCTAGGTAAATGGTAAAGGCGGTTGTATTTTGGGGGAGGTCCAGGTCGTCTACAAAGGCCAGAGTTGGGGCAGCTCTGCAGGCTGCACAGCGCAGGTCCTTTTTGGTGTGAGGACACGTGACTTTACGTGAGCGAACCCTTCCGACATGTGACGGGGCACTAGGAGGACAATAAAAATGACATGAGACATTAGAGAGAATTAAGGACAGCCCAAAAAAAATATTGAAAGAAAGTCTCACCTCTTCCATGCTGCCCACCACCCAGTCCTGCCCACAAGGTACGTCCCTGTTACATGGAACAACGGGTTTGGGTTTCAGGAGATGCTTGCACTCCTGAAACACTCTTTGTGGAGCACTC